TTAACTGTAACAAATGTCGCACACAATACAACGTAGGAGATTTCGATTTCATTTCGTAGCCGTACTAGTAATTGAATTTTTACTCTCAGTTTCCACTACGTTGATATCCGCGTGTGATCCGTTTGTAATCCGCTAGGTTCGGTATCCGCGTTCCGGTCTAGCGACATAGCGGCGTGTGTCCGCGTATATTTTACTGCTACGTCTATCGTGATTTATCGACGTAAAAAATATATACCATACAAGGTTATCGATCACTAACTGTACAGCGCAGTGCATAACAAACACTTGCGTGATATATCAGCAACGAAGTAATTTTTCATATTCATGAGGTTTCCAGAAATATCAGTAATTTGAACAATCATTGAATATTGAAATAAAAATTGCAGTTGAACTAATTGAGACTATATGATGTTTTTTCATTTGTAATTTTTAAAAGAGTTTGCGTTTATTACTAAGATGTAATTAATTTGATAAATTTTGGTTTGTAAGATGCATGCATGTTGGTCTACCGTGACGACCTGAAGACATGGATGACCTCAGTATCTGAGATCGAGTTAACTCAGACCACACAACACAACCTTTCACCGTACACTCCATTAAAGTAATACGATCTCACTTTTTAGGGTTAAAGGTTCGATTTAAGATAGACCAAAAGTTTACATACCTAACATAAATCTTAAACAAGCAAACGATTAATCTTTGAAAGTTATAGACAAATATTTATTTTATTTATTTTTTCTAAAATTTAATAAACAATTGACTACTGACGTTATAGTAATTATAACTGATGATTCTCGCAGACATTTTTGTACTAAAGTTCATGCAGATTTTTATATCTCAGCCTCATCAAATATAGAAATAACGGGCGGAGTTTATACACCCCAATGACAGCTTGAAACAATAAACAATTGTAGACTTTTCGCAATAGGTACTAAAAAAATGCGAACTTATGGTTATTGTACAAAGTTTGTCTAATGTTGTAAGTAACGTTACATCGTTTTTAAACACTGGTGCTACTATAATAATTCCATTATACAAGAGAAAAAAAAAAGAAACGCGTTCTATCTTATTTATACTGCGTTTCTGAAGTTTCTATTTATTTCATCCTAATGGTTCATTACTGTTTGGTTGAAGGAAGTTTCAACACAGTAAAATTTATACTACGGAGTTGGGAAACGCATTTCATGAATTTATCTAACCAAAAGCACTATCGAATGGCTAAAAGTCGCTGAGAAACCGGCCATTATTAAAATAGACGCCAAATTAATATTGTGAATAATTTAATTATTTATTAAGTGCAAGTGCAATTTTTTTTGGTTCATAAAGTTATTCAACTTTGACCAGGTCTTATATGTCTGAAAAAACATATTTGTCTTGAGTCAACAGTGGAAACTGTTATAATAACTCTGTTATTTATGCCGATTATACGTAAAGACGAGGCAACGAAAAACCGCAACAGTAAAGCGAAGTCAACAAACGTCAGTAGTCGCGGTAACCGTCCTGTGATTAACGACCACTTGTACGCCACTTTGTTAATCATTTGTCGTACTTTGAACTTTGCTCAGGTATCAATTTCGATTAATTAGTAACGGCATTAATAACATTACGTGTAGTTTTTCATTGAATTAACCCGTACAAAATCTTAACTGTTAGTTCCAGAGCGATAAGGGTCTTAAATATCAGTAGAAAAAACATAATAAAATTAATACTGTACTAAAGAACGTGGTTACTATTATTTTAAGGATCTGCATCCGTCGGTGAAGGAATGACGAGAGTGTTAGTCACACAGAGCAAGTGCGACATAAATAT